AAATGTTGTTGTAGTGTTCCTCTCTTGATGATCATCTTCTTTTAACACCAGCCAATAACCCTAACTCAACATGTTGATCCTTAATCCTGCTTATAATTCTTGGACAGTCTCCCTCATCAACATCATCGAACGATGAAGACATTATGTCCTGTCTTCTTCCAATCTTCCTCGAGGCCGACCTTGCTTGATCTTTAGTATGAACTGTGTGACTTCTCCAATGGATGATCTTTTTCTTGGTGTCTGATGCACACATCCGTTTGCAATCTTCGCCATTAACCTCACTTCTTCAATGCTTGCATTGCCCACTAGTAATGATAAAGCGGCCTAATACTATTATTGTGGACAAACCACAGACTAATGATGATTTTAGATATGCTCTAAGTCACTTCCATTCCATACCCTATGTGAACAAAATCACTTTCTTAGGCATACACAACCTGATCGGAAGTTGATAGGTAATCAATTAATTGAAAACCGAGATACAACCTCCAAAGATTCCAAATTTTAGTTCGAAAAAGCTTGTAAATTATATTTTTGGTTTAGTTTTGGTCTTCAGCTTCGGGGGTGCTCTTCACTTTACAATATCATAAACCATTATATGTTATTTAGGTTTGAGTATGAAAATCAGATTTATGTTTTTTGGAACTCATGCAGTATATTTTAGAGAATAATATGTCGTTTGGATCTTATAGAGTATATGTATACAATGTGTGTATTTTTCTAACGACGTGTATTTTAGCTTGATTTTGGGTGGAACTTTACTTAACTTGCATCAACTACATGTATCAAGAATAGGGAATGGAAGGCTTCTCTTGGCCTAGGAATCCTACTGTCAAAGGTTTTGTTTGAGAAGAAACACAAGATTGTATGAACGGATGTATTAATCCAAATTACACAAAGTTTTGAAACAAAAAATAGCCCAAATTAAATACTCAAAAGTTCCTTTTTTTAATATCGAAATTGTTTTTTTATTTTTAATCGATTACAGACTTTCCCTAAAGCCAACAAGTTCTTGGAGATACATACATTACAACAAGTGTAAAGAAAAAATCACAACAAATGAACCTAGATAGTAAAAATCTAATACGTTCAACACATGCTTCATATTGTATTTGTATTATATGAAGCCAAAGCGATAAAGTAGATTTAGAGTTGGGAGTCTCTCCGGTGGCCGTCGACGCTGTGGGGGCTCCGGTTAGTGGTCTGGTTTGCTGTCATAGCCTTTCTCTACCTATGGCTTCTCCTTTGCGATCATGGTTGTTGAGGAGATTGGGAGCGGAGATCGCTGGTTTTGGTGGTGTGGTTTCGGTGATGGCTTGGTTGATGGTCGGAGATGAAGCTTTGTGCGGACTCTGAATTGGATCTTGAGCGGGGTGTGGTCAAGCCTTGAAAAGTGATTTTTTTCTTCCGATGGTTTGAGGTTGTTAGTTC